AAAAATATTAAATGATTTTTTGAATATTTGGACGGGAATTGGAGTGCAGCAAAGAGCATTAATCATGTACAAATGTGCTATATTCATAAATTTTGTATATAAATATTGTTGAATTATTGATGTTACTTCTCCCTTTTTTTATCATTTCATCTATTATATTTATAATATTAATATTGTAAAGAGCAAATTTGTGTTGCTTCAATTTCCATCTTTATTTTCATACACTATTAATTTGTTTTGTGGCCTCAGGAATGCGTTATTGATTTTTTTTCTTTTCTTTCATAATACTTTACAGAAGTTTCACACATATGTTGTATATGTTTCTATTGAAATAGAAATTTTAAAACGGTATAGTTACAAAAAAAAAAATTTGATTAATGATTGGAACTTAGATATAAGATTTAGAGAAATATTCACGAAAAATCTATACCAGTATGCGCTTGAATTTCATTCGATTGAAAAAAATTCATGGAAGAATTGAAACTATTAAAGTAACCCCAAGGCCACTTTTCGTCCTAATTTTTCACGTTCATTCTCCTTGCTTTCGCTCATTCTTTCATTTGTTCGCTCGATCAATTGTTCATTCTCTCCATTTCATTTTACATCACAATATTACAAATCTTTATTTTAATATTTCTTTTTCTCTTTTTTCTATGCTATAATTACATTCTATAATTATATAATAATTGATTATTGAAATCATTCGGTATGTATATAATTACGCATATTGCGCGATCGAATTATGTTGAACTTGTATTAAATGCTTGAAAAACTAGTGCATCGTTTTGCATTCGTCTTGCCATTTTTTTTTCTTTTTTTTTTTTTTTTTTCTATATTTTTGTTTTGTCTTTTTGTCTTTTTTTCTTTTCGTAATCAAAATATGCATGAAATGTATAATATCGAAAATAGGAAGGCACGTAGTTTCGATAATAATTTGGTTTACGCAGTACTCGAGATCATTTAATCGATTAAAAATGTTTAACAAAAATAGCGTTTGCATTTAGTACAAGTTATTGCTTATTTTTTTTGCTCTTGGATTTCTTACGTATTTTTTTTATAAACTAAAAAATAAACAAATATTTAAGATAATCGAGCGTGATTAAAAAATAATTTCAGTACTACGTGTACTACACAGCGTGACATTATTCTATTGAAAAACATTGAAAGAATATATAATTTTTCATTAATTCATGATTTCATTATCAAAAACAAATTATATCTATGTACTTTTATTTACTATAATAGGAATCATTCTAAAATAATTGTTATATAAAGATATTTCTAATCAAACCTTTATATTTTGTTTTTTTAAAATCTTTGATTTTTATGATTTAATTTTTATGATTATTTTTAAAAAAATTTTTTGCTCTTTTTTCTTAATTTTAATATTGAGATCAATTTTTGGAACGATATCGTATTATTGCAATTAAAGAATCAAAATTTATCGTTATCTTTCTTTCTTCTTTTTCTTCGTTTATTATTATTATTATCATTATTATTGTTATTGTTTTGGTTTTTGATAAATGAAATATTCAAATATGATGATAAAGAATATATATATATATATAATGATAAAGAAAAGGAAAATGTATATTCGTGTAACAAAAGTTTGCTATTCGTTCTACACAATTCGAATTCAAACTTTAGTTCAAAATCAAATTCTAAAAATACTAGAAGTTTGAATTTCGATGATAAATAAATGACACACGATAGATGAACATATGTTAAATAAAGCATGCAAAGGAAAATATATATTGGAATGCCTTCGATATAAATATCAGGTTTTTCGATTCGATATCGAAGAAAATGCATCGCGTATAATTGAATCGGGTCAATTAAATGAAATCAACAGCGCATTAAATAATATAAATGTTAAGAAAAAAAACAAAAGATATCAATGTAAAAAAAAAATATAAAATAATAAACGCAAAAGTTTTGTCAATCGATAAAGATGCGTGACACGTCGAATATCGATTCTTTAAAAATTCGTCGCCGATTTCTAATGCGATGAATATGACAATTATAAAATGGTTTTGATTCTTCTTCCATTTTATGAAATACAGTTTATTTATATGTTATGAAGCTGTACAAAATACTTTGCCAATGCAAATACTGAAATTATAATTAAGAATAATATATTTACATAAATTATACACATATGTATATCGCAATATACATGTACATTTGTATAAAGAAATGCATTCTCGGTTAGACGAAAGAATCGATATGAGAATCTTTTTATAAATAGCGATTCTGTCGCGTTATCAAATATATTTGCATTTCACAATTAAATAATATTTTGATAAACGTAAATTTAAATATAATTCACGTTTATTTCTGATTACAAGGAATGAATATGTTGGATACCAACAGAAAGAAAGAAAAAAAACAAGAAATGAAAAATGGAAAACAAGAAATGAGTAAATAGTAATAGCTTAATATTATGGAGATAATACTAATTCATTTTTTTTCATATTTGAAAGAATTATCGTTAAAAGATCAAATAAAAAAATTTAAAGATTTTTTATCTAATAAGATAACAAGCAGTATTATATTCAATAGTGTAATTCTGTTCTTGAGAAAAACTTAATAAATTTTTGGCTTAAAGTTATTGTTATCCAACATATTTCCTCGAGTTACGATTTAATCATTACTACAAAATTTTAATTATCATATGTTTTTGATATAAATTTTAAATAAAAATTATTACCACCAGAGAGAGAGGAAGAAATAAAAGAGAGGAGAAGGGGAGTAGGAGGAGGAGATGAAGATGAAAAAGAAGAAAATGAAGAAGAAGAAGAAGAAAATGAAGAAGAAGAAGAAGAAGAAGAAGAAGAAGAAGAAGAAGAAGAAGAAGAAATGAATGTATATATATTATATAATGTAAGAAATCATGGTTAGTCGATTATACTTAACTACTGTGCCAGTAAAATATCTATTTATTGTCATTGTTTGATATTCAGTGTGGCTCGCTTTCATTTCGGCTCGGGGGAAACAAGGCGAGACTTCAATCTTCACTTAGAAAACTTATCTATGTACGAATTCATATATACTTACTTTATTGTTATTATAAAAAGAATTATATAACAATTATATTAATTCAATTATATTTCCATAAGAATTAGATAGTGGGGTATTAGGTATTCGTATGTTTTGAAAAAATAATAATATGTAAATAATGTTCACGCGATGGATAACGATTAACGAACAGTGTTGAATTATCGATAACATCAAATAAAAAAAAAAAAGGAATATAATATTCAATTAACTAGATCGAAAATATAAGACACATAACGATTATTATTTTGCAAAAGTCATGAGGTTAACAGGGCAAAAATACGCCAAAACTGCTATTTTTCTTCATGATTTACAATTACACCAAGAATTATTTTTACGAAGCAATCATGCGTAGAAGTTATATATCTTGTCCATGCGACTTTGGCACTATCGATGTATAGAAAATTACATTTGCACGAATATTATTCAACGAATATTCTGTTTTCATCATAACAATAACGGTAACGATAACGATAATGATAACGATAACGATAACATTAATGGTAACAATAACGGTGTGCATATATATCGTGCGTCTTCAAATTACCTTACGCGAAACAGTCAATTTTATTTCTACCCCATTTTCCTCACAGTTATGAGCATTTTCTTTTTTTTCTCTATATTTTTCTTTTTCTTCTTCTTTCTCTTTCTTATCGATTTTTTAACAAATTAAAAACGACAGAAAGAGAGAAAGGACAAAGAGAGAAAGAAAACGAAGAACAAACGAGAGGAGGAGGAGGAGGAGGAGGAGGAAGAGGAGGAGAAAAGACAGATGGGCATACAAGAATATATATATCGCGAGTACTTATTACGAGCGTTACGCGTATGAAAACGAACAAATTCATTCAAGTTTCTTCTAAAATTGTTCGAAAGATGAAGAAATTAAATAATGTCGAAAAATGTAATATAAATCGACTAATGATCGACGAATGCTGATGGCCACCATTCGTTAAAATTATCCTAGAATATCGCGAGAAGAAGAAAGGAAAACGAAGTTGATGTATGTCACGATGGGTACACGTATAAAAATAGAAAGAGATTGGATATATATCTTTAAAAAATGATCGGCATAAGAGTACACATTCACTGGCAGGTTATGTTAGGAAAGGCACGATTTTAAATGCTATATCTAGAAAGATAAGGCTGCGGCGACGGTGACGGCTGCTAATTGGTAATGAGAATGTTGTGTATGATGTTATAATAATAATAATGGCGGCGACTATAATAACTTGTTGAATCGTCGCGCGTCAGGAAGACACTTCGAAAAAAGAATCGTTCCGAAGAATCATATTAAGATTACGCAAGGACAAACACGAGAATATTGCACTTCGTGTGATCCTGATAGTAAAATGTAGTAAGAAACCTTTCCTTTAGATATGAGCAACAAGTTTCTGTTTCGTTCTCGAAAGCTTGACGATGCACCACAGAATAACGGAGTTATTCTTTCCCTTTCCTCCTCTTCTCTTTTCTTCTCTTTTCCTTTTTTTCTTTTTCTTTCAATCCAGTTTTATTTCGTTCATTTATTCAACGTATTCCAATATCCATAGATCGTTGGCACGGATGATATTACCATTCTTCTAAGCAACACGCTAGACTCGCTGGATTTGCTGCTTTTGCGCAAATTTCTCTTTCTTGTATTTATTGGTCATTAAGTTTTGCGCATCTTTATGGCCATCATTTGAAGTTCGAGCGATGCCAAGTTTTAATCGGTTCATGTCCTGTAGCATAGAATATATACCGGTATAGATTAATCCAAGTGAGAAGAACGATGCATCAATGGCTATGCTGAGTCGGCAAATCGGGCAATTTTCGGATTGATCAAACAGTTGTGTCTATAGTACGTATTGACGATGCGTACAGTGACCATATCGTGAAAGTAGAAAAGATGCTGACGGTGAGACGAATAAGCTGGATTGCTCTCGTTATTCTGTGGCCTTGCATCCTTGCTTTCAACCGTTTTATCGCGTTATATATTATTCCTCTAATCTATTCTATTCTACGCGTTCATTATAACACTTATGTCACTTTTTTGGATTAATGATTATCTTTTCTATGTGATAAACTCAAAGTCCCATATGTATATAAAGTATAGGTAAAGTACTAAGTCAAGGATATGCCTCGCTATATACAGTCGAGTCAAGAAGGGATGCACAATGAGTATGCGAGGTAGCCTGAACTTGAGCTGGCCAAGCGGTATTATTTTCACCGATGAATTTTTAGGGTTATTTTATAAATGAGAACATTCAAACATTAAATAGGTACGATAACGGTGCATTCGTCGTGAAGGGCACAGAACGGACGATTATATTCGATATACTTGTTATTTAGACTTTTCTCCAATAATTAATTGCATTCTTACAGGAAAACAAAACAGGAATCGAAATAAAAGAGATGAATAAAAAGAGATGAGAAACAGAGCAAAACTGGAGAAGGACATAGATATAGATAAATAGATAGATAGATAGATGGATAAATATCGATAGACGGAGAAAGAAAAAAAAAAAA